ATATTTATAGCACATAGAGTTATTAGAGGAAAAAGAGCTTAGTCCAATCTCAATACTTTTTTCCTATTCATCTTTTTTGGTTTTTGACAGTTGGCTAAGGTTGAATAATGTGATATTTGATACAGAAACACAAGGAAATGTATAAACCTTCTCACTGCAGACACCCAAACTTATTTTAAAAGCAAAACTAAACAGAAAAATCCAATTTTTAAACTTTGCTCTTAAAATGTCTATGACACTTATTAAAATATCCTAATTATTCAACTTCCCCTCTACTAACTTCTTAGGAAAGGTTAAGTATAAAACTTAGAAAGTATTCCAACTGAGGCAAGAAAAATATTTTTACAAGATGTTATTAAAGTCAATTTGCCTGATTTTTTTATAGTCTGTTTAGGCTTTGTTGTGTCAGTACTGATGTATTTTAAAACTGAGGAAGTTTTAAGTTCTTGTTATAAATAATCTAAGGTGAAATAATTCATATATTGCTCAAAGAACTTCACAAAATATCTATCACATAAAAAATGGATATACTTCTCAGATAGCTTTCTACAGTGATCATCATGACCTAGCATCGAGATGTTTTTCTACAAAGTACCTTATTTTAGTCTTGAGTTTTTAATTGGAATGAAATTAAATGTGGCCACTTGAATAATACATTACAAAGGTTTGGGATATGGTGAGCGGGAAACTCAATCTAAGATTAGCAAGACTTCAATTTAGTACCTTCAACAAAAATTCCTCAATTCATTTGTAACCTGGGGAGCAAAGAGGCACATATTAAGCCACATAAAGTGCCACACGTAATTTTAAGAACTGGTAGTAGTAAATCTAACAAAAACAAAACAATAGCATAAATGTTCTGCAAATTCACAAAAAGGTTGAATCCCTCTCTTATTATAAACTAAATGCCTTTGACTTTCTATTTTTAAATTTCCAGTAACTGCAACTGCTGGAAGAACCCTGAGCACAAACACAAGGTAAGAGGTCCAGGCTAAGTGCAAATTGATATTTATTTAATGGTGAGGGTAGGAAAAGTGAAATCACAACCGGGGAGGATATTTTAGGGAAATATGACAGTGACTGCTTATGGGTATGGGAACTGAGTACACAAAAAGGGTTGGTTGAACATGTGAAAGTTCCTGCTCCTAGCGGGTTTAAAAATGGCTAGTAAAACTCACACCCTAGAAGGTCAATGTATTTGAACAAAATGTGAGAAATTCAAACAAATGGGAGACGTTAATTATTAGGCACTGTGGAAACCAAGGATAACACCTGACTGTTTTATTTCCCATGGTATTCTACACATATTTATGATTGACCCAATACAATCTAAGTGACAATTTTAATATCATGGTTCATAAAAAACCTTGAGGCTATTGAAGCTATAAAAATGACCTCAAGACAGTTGTTAGATTTTTGTTTCCAATATAATGTTAATTTTATGTATTTCTACATCTTCATTCCTCAGCGGGAAATCAATGGTGTTGGTTTGTAACACAGGAGTTGACAATAAATAGATTGTCTATATTATACCATGATTTTTTTTTCTTTCCATATCACTATGGCTTTGATTTTTCAAATTACTTTTCCTGGTGTTATCAGACCTTCCTCCTAGTGCTATAAAAACTAGTGGTATATATTTATTTATTTTCAGAAGAATGACGATCTTTTTTTAAAAAAAAAAAATTTTTTTTTGAAAGAGCCTGCTTCAAGCTGCTATGGTGCTTCTTTCAGCAGGATCATTATGAGCAAGTTTATCATATTTTATAGCATATGTTCATCTCTAGAGCTTTAAGACAATTACTTTTATATCCTAAGGTAGAAAAACCACAGTTGCTGTGATCATATTCATCATTAGGGAAGTTGCTAAAATTTATTCATGGCCTGATACAATTTCAAAAAGTGCTGTCTTAAATAAGAAATAACTCATGTACATTGAAGGCTGCTGGCATGACACCTAGGATCTAGTTACTACCGTGAGATTATAAACACATTAAAATGCTAAACAGCCTTCAGTCAGACCTAGGGAGAAAGAAAGAAGAACCACTAATATTTACAATAATGAAAAATAATGAGTATTGCTGCATTGACATAAAGAAGGATAAACTAGAGTCATTTGTAAGAAAATAGAAGCACCTTAAGACCATAATGCTAAGTGAAATAAAGCAAACATACAGCTTAAATATCACATAGTTTCTCTGAAAAGCCCAAAATACAAATTAAGAAAAATAAAAGATAATAGGAAACAGAGAGAGAGAGAGAGAGATTTGAATAGGAATGGGGACCAAGAGATGAAGGGAGTGAGAAGGGTAAGGAGGTAGAGAGAATTTTTAAAAAAAGAAATAAGATGTGTTATGTACATGTGCCAACTCCTCATGAGTAATACAATCATTTTGTACTGCATAGATGGACCAATTTTTCTTTTTTAATTTTAAAAGCTTGGAGTAAAGGACACAGGTCTTGGCACATATGAAAGAAAAAGACATGGATAGAAAAACCATTATGTAGGAAGGATATTCTACCTAGATTCCGACTATTATACCCAACTAAATGAATCTATTTTGAAAGATACAGCAAATGGCCCTCACTAGCAGGATGCCAGGGAAGAAATTAACAGGTTTATGTAATCCTGACTACTGAGAAGTTATTGGATCTATACAGTCCTATAAGTTTAAAGATGTTTAAAAATATCACATGAAAAAAGTAAAATATCATTAGAGGTTATATTCTGTAGTCATTTTGTACAAGTAGCATCTACAATAGAATCTAATCAGAATTATTGTGTTCAGGCTGAAGTTTTAATTTAAACCTACAGAAAAATGGTACTTAAGAGCCACAGTCACAAGTCCCATATCCCTGGATAGTTGAGAAGACCGGACAAAACTGTTCTAAACAATAATCATTATTCACAACTTATGGTTCTTATACAACATTCAGAAGAAACAATTCTCCTCATACATCAGTTCCTACTCATGCTCAAAACCTGTAAATGCAGAGATATATTTTCACACCATACACTCTAGCCTCTTTTCTCTATACAACCTCCAGATATTAAGCAAACGCTGTGAAGAAAAATGCACATGCATTCACACAGATATACTCTTCAGTGTCTCAGTCTGCATTAAAAATACCCATCATCACTCATTTCTTTTTACGATATGCTGACAGTGAAACAGGACTATAATTTGCATTCAACACTCAGCTTCTTCTTAGTAAATCAGATCCACAGTGTCCATTTAAATTCAGCAAACATAAGCCGTAAAGGTTAGTGAAGATGAACACCATTTTATAGAACCTGAATACTAAAAAGTGATCTTTATGAAGCAAAGCAACCAACTTCTGAAAAAAGTTGTATAAAATTCACTTAAGTAGACTATTAAAATATTGTTTTAATAAGAATTCACTATTCTTACAAATATAAGGTACAGTGATGCTACCAAATGTTGACCTTTGGAAAATTGACAGTTTCCATTAGATTACATGAATAGTCTATAAGGCTGAAATAGTTTAGAACAATAAATCATTATTCACAATTCTAAGAAAATCTGCTTTAGTCAGAATGTGACATTCTCTGCCTTGTTAGCTATAAAATAAATATATTTCCTTGAAAATTAAGCATAATAGTAAAATCTATTTAATGAAATCATTCTTTAGTCCATGTAAGGCACCTTAAAATATGTTAAAATTGTGGTAGATTCTGTTAAGGATCACTGGACCTCACTACTCCTTGACTCATAACTAAGTGATCACATGAGATAAGATAAAAAATGGCAGTACCAACCAATCAAAAAAATTCTTTTCCTTCCTGAGATCATGAATCAAATGCCAAGAAGGACTCCTCCAAAAAGAGCACCGGTACAATGTACAATATCCAACTAATGTCACAGTAATTCAAGGATATAATGGTGATTCGATAACAAGACATATAGGATAATTTCTGAAACTTTTAGATAATCATGCATTCTTGAGTTCTTTACCATCCATTTTTCAGTGTTGTGGTGCTAGTCATACATTGTACTTTTGGGAGGCAAAAAATATACATATATATACAAACAAACTGATCAGTGGGATCCAGACAAAACTAATTGATATTAATAATTTGTGATTTTGCCAGTAGCAGTTTTTTTAAACAGCAAAACCTAATCAAAGTATCTCATAATTGAAATAATCCATAAGATAATGTGTAAGAAAGATTTTTCAAATATGAAGATATGAAGTAGACAAGTCTGCCTATATATCCAATAAATATTGCATGGTTGGCTTTTGCATTCAGTTCTGTTTGTTGTAAAGTCATTATGTCCTTATACAGGAAGATTTTTTTAAACAATTTTTTTCTAACTATTGCAGCTGCTTTTACAAAATGACAAAAGTTGCAACAGAAATCATACATACACATACATGTAAAATTAGGGAAACAAGCCGCTTTATTGCCCGATTTAAAATAAGCCCAATCAGTAGAAAAGTAAAATGCTATAATATACAGCTTGATGAGCAGCTGAAGACAAAAATATACTCAGATGCCATTTTAGAATTCAGGATTTATCTTACTCAGTGATGGTTGAATGAGATGAAGGACATTTCTCCTCTTACTTTTTCTAAAGCACTGAATCAACTAGTGTGATTTATGTGAGGACTATAATCTAGAATAGACATGTAAAAATTTCTTAAATATGATTCTGAGGCTTTGAGGGCTGAAAAAGCAAAGATCTTGCTCCTGGTTACTTCTAATTTATAAAATATGCCACGTAAATATCTTAATTATGAGACTTCTTGATTAAAGTGATAACTTTTGTAAGTCAGCAATAAAATGCAAATTATGCAGAACTGATTGTTAGCAATGCCTCTTTGGTAGGAAAACAAATACTGAAACTGTACTGCAAGGTAAAAATTAGAATTAGAATGTGAATTAATAAGGTTACAAAGATTAAATAAATACTTAACATCTATGTCTAGAGAAAGAAGATACTGAAAACATTTGGAAAATATGAAAGCAGTCTTACTCTTGACGGTCGCTGTCCGGGTACAGTTGTACAGGATGGCCAGCTCTCCAAATACTTTCCCAGGACCCATGGTGCACAGCTTCACGCCTTCTTTAGTGACTTCAACCTTCCCATCTACAAAAGACAGGGGAAGGCACATTATCTTAATTCTCTCCCATACTCCTTGTTGTTGTTGTTGTTGTTGTTGTTGTTTTTGCATTTTCATGATGAGATTTAAGAAACTTTAGACTTGTTTCTAAAAATGCAAGCTACCAATTAAAGAAAAGCTGTCACCAAAATACAGTGCAAAAAAAAGAGTAAAATATGTATGGTAAGAAGTCCCCCTTTTCCTCAAATTTATCATTAATAAGATTTGAAATGAGATTCAAAGAAAAGACCAGGAAAAGATGAAGACAAATATGTGAACATATGAAATTACTCTAAATGTAATATTAGTGAGCCATGGTAATTCCAATTTTAACACTTAAATCTGAAAGAAAACTTGTGTAAATTGATACATTTTCTATAGCACAGTTCATACTTGAGAATTCTCATTTTGAATAAGGTGGCTATTATGAAGAGGGAAATTACTTTGACCCTTGGGCATTATTTAATTGCAGCTCACAGTATCATTTTATTTGTAAACATCTTATCTAACTTAGGCAAGACTGTTTATTTGCTTCCCAGCCATGTAACACTGACTGTCAAGCAAAACAAACTATAAAGCTTAAGGGAAAAGAAAGAGGCATTAAGACTGCGTATGTTCCACAAAGAACTCAGAAAATAAAATGCTAAGGAAACAGCATACACTGGACATACCTTCTTGAATACAAGTAAGGAAAATAATATTCATGGGGAAATTGGGGGAAAATACATTTTTAATAAAGTCATAGCTATGCAGGCTAAAAATTCATTGTATCACCTAACACATCGAGGACAGAAATAAAGAGGCAACACAATCTATTGTAAATTCAACCCCCTTGCCTTACATTAATTAGTCCTCCAAATTACTTACCCACAGTCTACAGAAGAAAAGTCTAATGCTTGACTAAATAACTGGCTCCTGACAGAAAGGAACTAATGCTACTCAGTGTTTGCTAAACTTTAGGCTTCTTTCATTGAGGTCTAATTACTCCTTTGTGTGCTTGCTGTAATAGTTGGCTTTTTAAAAGTGCTAACTTTTAAAAAAGTGAATTGTATCAACTTAGTTTAATGCACACAATAGTATTTGTAAAAAACAGGTTTGGCTGTGAATTTTTAAAACCTGCTGAGGTAAAATATTACATATTAAAAACTTTAAAGTTTAATTCAGATTTCAATGATGCATGACCTAGCCTTCAGTGAATACTGCTATAACATGAAAGCCATTTCATCTAAATGGTATCAATGGAGAGAGAATTCTGCCCAGCAAACACACAATGTATTTACTACGTTTGAATTGTGTATGCATACTCCATCTTTGCCTGATGAAACTTTGTGCTGAGAACGAACAAACACAATAATTCAAAAGGCTTGGATAGATCTCCTTACACAGGTTTTGCTCACATATTCTTACTTCCTATGCTTTCTTCTTGACTGTATGAAGAAAACTCTTTCTCTTTAAAAGGCACATCAAAACCAGTCCAGAAAACTCATCTTTTCACCAGCTCCCAGTATCTTTCCATGGCATTCTCCCCTTCCTTCACTGGCAAGTCTATTTCCCTAGAAATCTCATCTGCCGCTCAAGAGTGAGACAGACCAGATATAACATGGTAGTGAAATACATCTGAAGTTCAACTGGGAATTGAGTTCTCTTAGCTGTTTTTTAAAAACCTTAAGACCTTGAGCAAGTTGCTTAATGTCCAAATGTCTGTTTCTTCATAAGTAAAATTAATAAAATATGAACACTTATTACATTGGATAATTGTTACAATTAAATGAGATAAAGCAAGTATAATGCTTAACACAGTATCTGGCACACAATAAATGCTCAATAAATGCTTTTTCTTTTTACTGCTATTATTTTTATTACATTTACTTGACATTTTTATGGAGGTACAAATTATTTAGATTACATTGGAGATAATTTTCCATCATCTATTTTAAAACCAATTGAGATTCAAGTAGGAAAATAGGTATTCTTTTTTTCTTCTTCTTCTTAATGTTGTCCCTTTATGGGGCATTGAGGAGAGAACTTTTGAATCCCAAGTGAATATTGGACCCAGTGAAGAAAATAGAAGCTTAAGAAACCACATTAACCTATCTAGAACAATGCCAAATCTTTCTACTCTTCCCTATTTGTCTATATGTACCCAAGATTTGATGTGATGTTGCTTCAGCTACTTCAGTCTTAAAGTGTAAGCTCCCAAGAATAACTCATTAACAACTTTCCAGTGTATTAAAACATTTTCTTGACCTAAAGCCCTAGCATTAATTATAAATAGAACGAAGAGAAAAATGAACAGTACTTAAAGAACTTGCATAAATAAATGATTTTGTACAAGTCTGCTTCTCTGTCTTTTTGGATTTTACATTTTACATTTTTAGTGGAAAGAAGCCCTCAAGCATAAAATCACTACTGAGGATCCTGCTGGATAGTTTGTAAGCTATGCCTTCTCAAACAATAACCAGCCTAAATAAAAGACAAGGAGGAACATCAAGACTGTTGTTTTAGTTCAGTAACTTTTTAAAGAAAATCTATGGACTTATCAAATCAGAAACAATTTACAGAATTCAGATATGGGAAGTTAAGAGTGTCCCTCTATGACCATGGGCACCACACTTAGTGCTTCTGCCACTTCCATCCCTGAAAAACTATACTCATGTAACATCTATCTATTTTAACTTAGGTACAATTAAACTTGTAATCAATTATGTTTCTTGTTCTTACATGACCATAAGCAGCTTATAGCCAGATCTATATGTAAGACTCTGGGGTTTAGAATTTAGGCCCAAACTCACTTCCAGCTTCCACTTATTTTCCTCATCTTGCTGTATTTTGGCTTTATTTTTCTCTCATACCTAGCTTATTTTTGTTGAAAAGATATGTACAAATTATATATATGGTAATTATTCATATATGTGTGAATAAGTATTACTGGTGATAGAAAGCTATATTGTATACTAGCTAGAATAGCTAAAAATTTTTAAAAGGATTTAGATTGTTCTTGAGTAATAGCAGTTTGTATATAAAATAGCCTTTCTAGTTCAAGTTAAACACTGGAAAGTTAGGACAGTCACAATAATCAAGGAAACATAAATGATCTGATAGCATATGATAAATAAAATGATTTTAAAAGCACTATATTTTTTAAATGACTAGAAATACCTAAATGGTAGAAAGAAACAGTGTTTGTAATTTGTTGCCATAAATCATAATTTGATTGCTTATCCTTTCTCATACCTGTTTTGTGGATGAGGATTAGTTTAGAGAGGAAGGAGAGACTGGGTGTAAAATGAAAGGTACACACAAGACATGAATGAGAGTTCTTTCAAAGATATTTAAAGGTGTCCTAATTTTCTAAGAGCTCAGTAAAATGAGTTATTATTATGAAATGTGAAATTGGTAAAGTTCATTTACTAGGCTACTCATCATCCATAAAGTAAAATTAAAAGTAATTTCAAATTTACAAATGATTGCCAAGTATGGACTGTGTGGTTCACTTAAGAAAACTAAGAATAAGGCAAGGCTATTGCACATACCAAAAGGCCCTAATCCTACCTCGCTGACTTCCTCCAATTATTAGGCAGTCATGAAACCACTCTCCTAGACAATTCCTTTATGAGTCAGTTTTTTACTTCTTTCTCATCCTGATGATACATCAGAGATTCATTTTAAATTTACTCCACTTGCATAGAATGTATGTATGCTTATTTTGGTGGGGAGGGGAGAGGCAAAAGGCAGCTAGGCTACATTTTTGACATGCTTTTGTCAGGGGTTTATACCAAACTTAGAACAGTCCAGCTTGGAAATTTTTATGTAATTATAATTTACTACTAATTTTAGGAATGAATATTGATGAATTTACTTTAGATCATCATTAGTTAATATGATTTCTATTTCCTCAAGACATAAAAGGAATCGATCAGTATTTGACTATTTTTAGACTTCAAATCTCAAATAATTTAGATTGCAAATCAAAGACTTTTAAACATTAGCAAGAAAGTCATATTCAGAACATTTTAGTAAAGTTCTAGACTTTTTCTATTTTCTCTGATGAAGCTCAATAGTTAGTAGAAGTCACTTGAAGAACGAATGAGAATCCCAAATGTGGTTAATCTCTAGATTCTACTTCTGCTCCTTTTATTTTTAAATGCAATACTCTATTGAGATTTTTATTATGCCCTTTTGCCACCACAGTTTTACTTAAGTAGAAAATGTAAAGAAACATTTAAATCATTTTAAGTTGGATTTTGCTAAATTTCTAGAGTTCTCAGCTCAAGAGATGTTGATACAGACACCTGAGAAGAGGTTCAAAGGATTATTTATAGTTTTTGCTCTTTCCCACTCCTGTCATTTATGTGAATAATTGAAAGATTTATCATAGTAACTTGAACATATTTTTAATTCTATTTCAAATACCATATGCCTATTTATGGCCTGGAATGGGCTGAGTCATAAGCCCTAAATCTTGTCACTGTGAGCAGCCATCTATCTGCTTTCTTGTTTTTGGTACCACTGTTCATGTATCACTCTTGGGAAATCCTACATGTTAAGAAGTCCACTAAACTTCATGTATACTTTTATCTACCTTTCATAACAATCAGTAGGTTCTACAAATAAGGAAAGGAACAGTTTATAAAGAGACCCCAAATCTCCTGATTTTATCTACCCTAATGGGTTTTCATTAATCTGTGATTTTGTGCAATAATGATTTTTATGACAATTAGAAACTAACTTAGAGATTTATTACTAACAGAAATAGAACAGTTGGAAATAACCTAATTAGAAACACCCTGCTTAGTTCCAACAATCTTGGTTGGAATATTGAGGACAACTTGACTGCTCATAAAGGGAAACAGATGTAATAACAAAGGTCCCCTCTAGATAAGACCCCCTGTATCTTTCCTCCTCTCATCTCTTTTTCTATATTTTCACAGTTTTATAGATTAAAGACTGTACTCTTTACACTGTGTTCTCTCAAAAGAGTATCTCT